TTTTACCTTGACAGCATATAATTCAGAAAAAAAAATTGGGATGAATGATAGACGTGTGGATGCTGAGATCTCTTATTACATACAAAATGATACTTACTACTGGTGAGATCACCGACTGAGGAGATCTGATGGAGTTTACTGAGTATTTCTACAAAGTCACCGACTTTCCTTTCCAGTGAAGCTGGAAGGATTATCTTGGCTCCCTGGATCTTACACCTTGTGGTGGGGGGAGGGGTGGAGAATGACTGAATCCTCCAAGATAAATGTTTCTTTCCCTGTGACCAATGTATTTTCCCCGATTAAAACTGAACTTTATGTATTTTTTTTTTTAGCTATTTAACCATTTCAAAGCGATTAAATATTCATTTGATTCAAAGGATTCAGCACCATTATTTAATGAAGACGGAGAATTGGTTCATAAGTACAAAATAACAAATTGGGTTCACGAAGATGACGTGAATATGGTCTATAAGGACGTGGGGGACTTCACACCCTGGGCTCCGGAGGATCGGAAATTAGACATCGACATCAATGCCATAACATGGACGTTCAGCAATGGGGTAGGACCATCGTAGAAACCAAGACTCATAATAAAGACAAAGCCTTTGGGATTCCATGAACTTCCACTTTGCCCTCCAGAGGATTTACCACAACCCCCCCCCCCCCCCCCCACTTCCTGACAAAAGTATTTTTTTGCGATACGGCCCCTTCGTCCGCGTTATTTTAACCCGCCTGTCCGGACACTTTCCCCCCCTTCCAGTCCGGACACTTTCCCCCCCCCCTTCCAGTCCGGACACTTTCACCCCCTTCCAGTCCGGACACTTTCCCCCCTTCCAGTCCGGACACTTTCACCCCCTTCCTGTCCGGACACTTTCCCCCCCTTCCAGTCCCTTTCCCCCCCTTCCAGTCCGGACACTTTCCCCCCCCTTCCAGTCCGGACACTTTCCCCCCCAGTCCGGACACTTTCCCCCCCTCCAGTCCGGACACTTTCCCCCCCCTTCCAGTCCGGACACTTTCCCCCCCTTCCAGTCCGGACACTTTCACCCCCTTCCAGTCCGGACACTTTCACCCCCTTCCAGTCCGGACACTTTCACCCCCCTTCCAGTCCGGACACTTTCACCCCCTTCCAGTCCGGACACTTTCCCCCCCTTCCTGTCCGGACACTTTCACCCCCCCCTTCCAGTCCGGACACTTTCACCCCACTTTCCCCCCCTTCCTGTCCGGACACTTTCACCCCCTCCAGTCCGGACACTTTCACTTCCAGTCCAGCACTTTCACCCCCTTCCTGACCAGGCCAATTTTCATCTTTCAGTGCTGGCAATGACAATTGCGCGGTCATGCAACACTGTACCCATATGAAATTTTTTGCATTTTTTTGAGACAGATAAAGCTTTATTTTGGTGGTATTTATTCACCGCTGGGATTTTTATTTTTTTGTTATATAAATGAAAAAGTCCAAAGATGTAGAAAAAAAGTGTTTGTCTTATAAAATTTAGTAAATAAATAATCTTTCTTCATAAATCTTGGGCAATATGTATTCAGTTATCTTTTTAGTAAAAAAAAAAATGACCCAAATTAGTTTATAACAAAAAATTATAATTTTTCCAATTTTTTTTTACATTTCTATTATATTTCTTTATATTATTATTTATTTTTTTTTTTTTTTTTTTACATACTGTCACCCTAGCAGTACAGTGTCACCATAGTGACACTGTACTACTTGTGGGGGTGATGATTTTTTTTTTCCTTTTTTCACTGATTGCTATTAAACCAATAAAAAGGCTGTAAAAGCAATCATTTCTCCTCTGTGGCTGCATTCTTGCAGCCATTGAGAAATACTGTGTGAGCTGTGATTGGTCACAGCTTGTCACATGGTACAAGTCTGTTGTGAATAGCCTTGTACCATGTGACGTCTGTGATCATTCACAGATTTCACAAGTAGTAAGCAATGATGTCAGAAGTCTTGCTTACTACTCTTCATGTGTGAGCACTAATTGACCAATCAGTGATCACATGATCGGGACCTCACACAGAGGTCCTGTACAGTGATCGGTGTTCCGCTGTGTCCTCAGGACACAGCAGGCACCAGATCGCGGTGCTGCGCGCTCCCAGGGAGTTTGCACAAGCAGGAAGTGCGGATGGCGTTTATAAATGGCTACCTGTCCCTGAACTGCTCCCGTCCAGCCGTTTATATACATGGACCGGTTGGCAAGTTGTTAAATGACGCTCACTCATGCAACGCCGTACATAAATTACATTTATGTCCTTTTTTCCCCACAAATGGAGCTTTCTTTTGGTGGTATTTGATCGCCTCTGCATTTTTCATTTTTTGTGCTATATACAAAAAAAGACCGACAAATTTTGAAAAAAAAAAAACAATATTTTTTTTGACGTTTTGCTATAAAACATATCCAATAAAAAGATAAAAAAATAAAATTGCTTCATAAATTTAGGCAAAAATGTATTCTGCTCCATGTCTTTGCTAAAAAAAAATAATCCCAATACATGTAACATTTTCTTTTCCTGACAAATAGAGCTTTCTTTTGGTGGTATTTGATCACCTGTGTGTTTTTTTATTAAAAAAAAAATGACAATTTTGAAAAAAAAAAAACAAACAATATTTTTGACTTTTTGCTATAAAACATATCCAATAACAAAATGTAAAAAATCAAATTGCTTCATAAATTTAGTCCAAAATGTATTCTGCTCCGTGTCTTTGCTAAAAAAAAAAATCCCAATACATGTAAATTAATTGGTTTACGTGAAAGTTATAGCGTCTACAAATGGCGGTATATATACTGGAATTTTTGTTTACATTTTTTTTATACTAGTAATGGCGGTGAATCAGCGACTTATAGCGGGACTGCGGTGGGCATTCTGACACTGGGGGGGGGGGGGGACTGACTAACTGCCAATGACATCCCCAGTGACACCAATACAGTGATCAGTGCTAATAAAAAGCACTGACACTGTAGCGGCAACTTTGGGAATACCAGGTAAACTCCGGACATGAACTTGAGGAAAACAAGCTTTATTAGCCACCTGGGACCTAGCCAGACTCATGTCTGCAAAGCTAAGTGGCTTGAAAAACATCTCATAGGGTATACATATTAACAATTACGTTGCAATGCATATTTTTCCTCTTTGACTTTCTGTACATTCAAAAGGCTTTCTAAACCATGCAAAATATAGCCTTGAATACCAGCTACAGAAAAGAATACCAGCTACAGACTGGAACACATGACTTCACAGGAAATAAGGGAGGGGGGAAAGTGAGCTGGTGACCTTGCTTTTGCAAACAGAGTCTGCTAGAAATGTTAAAGTTTAAAGGGGAACTCTGCAATATTTGGGTGCTGCCACAACACTGTACTAATGGCACTGGGCAGGAAGGGGTTAACATGTGGGGCGACCAAAGGGTTAACTGTGTGCTGTTTTACATTGTGTGATGTGTGTTGTACTTGGGAAACATGCTGCTTTGTATCTCTCTGCTGTGCAGAGAGATACAAAGCAGCATGTCCATGCTGACAGGAGAGAGATATGTGTTGTTTACACACAGGTCTCTCTCCTGTTAGCTTTCCCGATGATCGCTGAGTGCCAGCCGGGAATCGCTGGCCGGGACACGGTGATTGACATCCCTAACCACCAATAGCAGCACTGGTAGGGCGGCGCACGCACCCCCTACCCGGAGATGTAAATCATGAATATATATACGTGATTTTACGCAGCTGTGCCGCCCTGTAGCAGTACTTCTGCTATAGGGCGGAGGAGAAGAGGTTAATGAAACACAGCCCAATACTTGTAACCGCTTCCGGACCGCCCCAAATATTTATACTGCAGGCAGGTCACTCAGCTGTGTTGGATCATTTACATATATATGATCCAGCATTTCCGAGAAGAAGGCGCATGCGTGTCAGTTGATCAGCATGCTTGGTCAACGATTTATGGCCGAGACCCATAGGTTGGCTTAGTGAATCACAGCACAGAGCTCTGTGTTTGTTACCAACACAGGGCTCTGTACAGAGAGCAGCTATTTTTTTCTCCCTGAAAAGCAGGGACAAATAAGTCCAAAAATGCGGTTTACTGCGTTTTTCAGCTTTAGAGCGCTTTTACAGCTAAAAAACTCCTCTAGAAATCCACAAGTCCTGGGTTTTTTCCAGCCAAAAAACAGCCCAGCCAAAAAACGTTGATTCCAGTCTATGTGTGTATGGACACATAGGATAACATGCTGGGGGGTTTACTGGCTGTAGAAAAAAAACTCAAAAGCCAAAAACAGCCGCTGTAAAAACGTCCCGTGTGCATGAGGACTAACCAGTATTGCGTCATAGCGGTGTGAATTCAATATATATATATACCATCATTTTTTAGACATTATGGGGTAGATTTACCAAAACTCAGAATCTGGTGCAGCTGTGCATGGTAGCCAATCAGCTTCTACAATAATTCCGGCTTGTTCAGTCAAGCTTTGGCAATCAACCCTGGAAGCTGATTGGTTTCTATGCAGAGCTGACCCAGATTTTGCACATTTCATTTATAGTAAGTAACCCCCTATATCTTTCACACAAACCAATTCATTTACACTTTTTTTTACCAAAGACATGGAGCAGAATACATTTTGGTTTAAATTTATGAAGAAATTTGATTTTATTATTTTTTTATTGGATATGTTTTATAGCAGAAAATAAAAAATATTGGCAGTATATAATAATAATAATAATAATAGTAATAGAAAGAAAAAAAAAAAGAAAAAAAAGAAATACCACCAAACGAAAGCTCTATTTGTGTAAAAAAAAAAATAATAATATAAATTTCATTTGGGTACATCGTTGCATGACCGCCCAATTGCCAGTTAAAACAGCGCAGTGCCAAATAGCAAAAAAAGTCCTGATCATGAGGGGGATAAAACCTTTCGGAGTTGAAGTGGTTAATGAATGAACGGTATATAATTGACCTCAATGATGAATCCAGGCAGGGCCACTAGAGTTCATTTTGATACTGCCCTAAAATAACCTCTCAAGGGCCACTTCACACTCCATGCGTTTCAGTTTTTTTTTTCTACATTCAAAATGCACAGGAAGTAGGTGATACGGTTTTCAATGTCATAGTTGACATCAGTGCTTGCAGTTCCAGTGCGTTCCGGATGCAGAAAAACAAAGTAGAACAGGCTGCATTTTTTCTGCACAGAACTGTAGTGGAACGCAGTAAAACACTTCCAAAACGCATCACTACATACAGGAGCGCACCAAAACGCACCAAAAACGCACTGAAATACACTTGTCCCTATTTAATTTGAAGAAAAAAAAGAGGGAGAAAAATGAACTGTAATGCATAAAAAACCCTGGAATACATCAAAAATGTGCCAAAAAACGCGCAGGCAAAACCGCACAGGGGGCATCTGGACTGGGTTTCTATAGTGTGAACCGGCCCTAACAGTGTAGCACAGCGGAATGCAATGCTCAAGTGTTAAAAATGTTCCCGAAAAAAATAATAATAAAGTGTTCTTTCTTTTTTTCTTTTCTATTTTTGGTGCATTTTGTTGTCTTGAGGAGGTATTAGAAAATGTGAAAAAAAAAAAAAAAAACAAAACAAATAGCAATTTTGAAAAATAAAAGATATTTACACAAGTATGGTTCAAATGTTAGAAGTTCAAGTCACGTTTTTCTGTTTCCGTGTCGTCCAGAGACCACGAATAGACACAAAATACAATGGAAAATGATGGAGAAAAAAAAGGAAGGGGACAAAAATGTTATCATCTGTTTTCTCATTTTCTGGGGTATTTTACTGAACCTCCAGATACTATACTGACTACTGAACCCCCCTGAACCCCAGATACTAACCTCCAGATACTACTACTGAACCCCCCCCCCCTACTGAACCTCCAGATACTACTACTGAACCCCCCACCCCTACTGAACCTCCAGATACTACTACTGAACCCCCCACCCCTACTGAACCTCCAGATACTACTACTGAACCTGATACTACCCCCCCCCCCCTACTGAACCTCCAGATACTACTACTGAACCCCCCACCCCTACTGAACCTCCAGATACTACTACTGAACTACCCCCCACCCCTACTGAACCTCCAGATACTACTACTGAACCCCCCACCCCCTACTGAACCTCCAGATACTACTACTGACCCCCACCCCTACTACTGAACCTCCAGATACTACTACTGAACCCCCCACCCCTACCCCCCTACTGAACCTCCAGATACTACTACTACTGAACCCCCCACCCCTACTGAACCTCCAGATACTACTACTGAACCCCCCACCCCTACTGAACCTCCAGATACTACTACTGAACCCCCCACCCCTACTGAACCTCCAGATACTACTACTGAACCCCCCCACCCCTGAACCTCCAGATACTACTACTGAACCCCCCACCCCTACTGAACCTCCAGATACTACTACTGAACCCCCCACCCCTACTGAACCTCCAGATACTACTACTGAACCCCCCCCCTACTGAACCTCCAGATACTACTACTGAACCCCCCCCACCCCTACTGAACCTCCAGATACTACTACTGAACCCCCCACCCCTACTGATACTACCCTGAACCCCCCACCCCTACTACTACTACTAACTGAACCCCCCACCCCTACTGAACCTCCAGATACTACTGAACCCCCCTGAACCTCCAGATACTACCCCCCCACCCCTACTGAACCTCCAGATACTACTACTGAACCCCCCACCCCTACTGAACCTCCAGATACTACTACTGAACTCCCCACCCCTACTGAACCTCCAGATACTACTACTGAACTGACCCCACCCCTACTGAACCTCCAGATACTACTACTGAACTCCCCACCCCTACTGAACCTCCAGATACTACTACTGAACCCCCCCCCCCTACTGAACCTCCAGATACTACTACTGAACCCCCCACCCCTACTGAACCTCCAGATACTACTACTGAACTGAACCCCCCCCCTACTGAACCTGAACAGATACTACTACTGAACCCCCCCCCCCCCTACTGAACCTCCAGATACTACTACTGAACCCCCCACCCCCTACTGAACCTCCAGATACTACTACTGAACCCCCACCCCTACTGAACCTCTACTAGATACTACCCCTACTGAACCTCCCCTACTACTGAACCCCCCACCCCTACTGAAACCTCCAGATACTACTACTGAACCCCCCACCCCTACTGAACCTCCAGATACTACTACTGAACCCCCCACCCCTACTGAACCTCCAGATACTACTACTGAACTCCCCCCCCCTACTGAACCTCCAGATACTACTACTGAACCCCCCACCCCTACTGAACCTCCATACTACTACTACTACTGAACCCCCCACCCCTACTGAACCTCCAGATACTACTACTGAACCCCCCACCCCTACTGAACCTCCAGATACTACTACTGAACCCCCCACCCCTACTGAACCTCCAGATACTACTACTGAACCCCCCACCCCTACTGAACCTCCAGATACTACTACTGAACCCCCCACCCCTACTGAACCTCCAGATACTACTACTGAACCCCCCCCCTACTGAACCTCCAGATACTACTACTGAACCCCCCACCCCTACTGAACCTCCAGATACTACTACTGAACCCCCCACCCCTACTGAACCTCCAGATACTACTACTGAACCCCCCACCCCTACTGAACCTCCAGATACTACTACTGAACCCCCCACCCCTACTGAACCTACTGAACCTCCAGATACTACTACTGAACTCCCCCCCCCTACTGAACCTCCAGATACTACTACTGAACCCCCCACCCCTACTGAACCTCCAGATACTACTACTGAACCCCTACTGAACCTCCACTACTACTGAACCCTACCCCCCCCTACTGAACCTCCAGATACTAACTGAACTGAACCCCCCCCCACCCCTACTGAACCTCCAGATACTACTACTGAACCCCCCACCCCTACTGAACCTCCAGATACTACTACTGAACTCCCCACCCCTACTGAACCTCCAGATACTACTACTGAACCCCCCCCCCCCTACTGAACCTCCAGATACTACTACTGAACCCCCCCCCCCTACTGAACCTCCAGATACTACTACTGAACCCCCCACCCCTACTGAACCTCCAGATACTACTACTGAACCCCCCACCCCTACTGAACCTCCAGATACTACTACTGAACCCCCCACCCCTACTGAACCTCCAGATACTACTACTGAACCCCCCACCCCCCTACTGAACCTCCAGATACTACTACTGAACTGACTGAACTCCCCACTACTACTGAACTGAACCTCAGATACTACTACTACTGACCCCCCCCCCCCTACTGAACCTCCAGATACTACTACTGAACCCCCCCCCCCTACTGAACCTCCAGATACTACTACTGAACCCCCCCCCCTACTGAACCTCCAGATACTACTACTGAACCCCACCCCTACTGAACCTCCAGATACTACTACTGAACCCCCCACCCCTACTGAACCTCCAGATACTACTACTGAACTCCCCACCCCCTACTGAACCTCCAGATACTACTACTGAACCCCCCACCCCTACTGAACCTCCAGATACTACTACTGAACCCCCCCCCCCTACTGAACCTCCAGATACTACTACTGAACCCCCCACCCCTACTGAACCTCCAGATACTACTACTGAACCCCCCACCCCTACTGAACCTCCAGATACTACTACTGAACCCCCCACCCCTACTGAACCTCCAGATACTACTACTGAACCCCCCACCCCTACTGAACCTCCAGATACTACTACTGAACCCCCCACCCCTACTGAACCTCCAGATACTACTAACTACTGAACCCCCCCCCCTACTGAACCCCCACCCCTACTGAACCTAGATACTACTACTGAACCCCCCCCCCTACTGAACCTCCAGATACTACTACTGAACCCCCCACCCCTACTGAACCTCCAGATACTACTACTGAACCCCCCACCCCTACTGAACCTCCAGATACTACTACTGAACTCCCCACCCCCCCTACTGAACCTCCAGATACTACTACTGAACCCCCCACCCCCCTACTGAACCTCCAGATACTACTACTGAACCCCCCCCCCTACTGAACCTCCAGATACTACTACTGAACCCCCCACCCCTACTGAACCTCCAGATACTACTACTGAACCCCCCACCCCTACTGAACCTCCAGATACTACTACTGAACCCCCCCCCCTACTGAACCTCCAGATACTACTACTGAACCCCCCACCCCTACTGAACCTCCAGATACTACTACTGAACTGAACCCCCACCCCTACTGAACCTCCAGATACTACTACTGAACCTCCAGATACTACTACTGAACCCCCCCCCTACTGAACCTCCAGATACTACTACTGAACCCCCCCACCCCTACTGAACCTCCAGATACTACTACTACTGAACCCCCCCCCCCCTACTGAACCTCCAGATACTACTACTGAACCCCCCCCCCTACTGAACCTCCAGATACTACTACTGAACTGAACCCCCCCCACTGAACCTCCAGATACTACTACTGAACTCCCCACCCCTACTGAACCAGATATACTACTACTGAACCCCCCACCCCTACTGAACCTCCAGATACTACTACTGAACCCCCCACCCCTACTGAACCCCTACTGAACCTCCAGATACTACTACTGAACCCCCCCCCCTACTGAACCTCCAGATACTACTACTGAACCCCCCACCCCTACTGAACCTCCAGATACTACTACTGAACTCCCCACCCCTACTGAACCTCCAGATACTACTACTGAACCCCCCCCCCCACCCCTACTGAACCTCCAGATACTACTACTGAACCCCCCACCCCTACTGAACCTCCAGATACTACTACTGAACCCCCCCCCCCCCTACTGAACCTCCAGATACTACTACTGAACCCCCCCCCCCTACTGAACCTACAGATACTACTACTGAACCCCCCCCCCTACTGAACCTCCAGATACTACTACTGAACCCCCCACCCCTACTGAACCTCCAGATACTACTACTGACTGAACCCCCCCCCTACCCCTACTGAACCTCCAGAGATACTACTACTGAACTCCCCCCCCCAGATACTGAACCTCCAGATACTACTACTGAACCCCCCCCCCCCTACTGAACCTCCAGATAGTACTACTGAACCCCCCACCCCTACTGAACCTCCAGATACTACTACTGAACCCCCCACCCCTACTGAACCTCCAGATACTACTACTGAACCCCCCACCCCTACTGAACCTCCAGATACTACTACTGAACCCCCCACCCCTACTGAACCTCCAGATACTACTACTGAACTCCCCACCCCTACTGAACCTAGTTTCCAGATACTCCCCCACCAAGTGCCAAGATCAGGGA